GAAGTACAAGTGAATCCACTTCAGATATGGTTGACAATTCAGGAAACCAGATATAGCAGTAATAAACAGTTAACGATAGGTAACGTATCATTCATATAATGTTTGCGTTAATTCATAGGGAAAACATAAGTTTTTACCAGTCTGATAATGTGACACAAAAGTGAAACAGAATTGCAGTGTTGAAAGTTTTGTGGTGAAGCAGTTAGTTCCAACATCCAAGGTTATGTAAACTTACTAAATTCTTCCCGCTCGCTTCTACGACTTGCGATTGAAAAGACTTAAAACAAAGAAAAAATTCTTAAGTTTACAGTCTATACGAAAAAATTGAGAAAACTATATCAATACGACAAGGTATTTGATCAGAAGAAGAGTGATTATCACAGCAGTACTAGTTATACAGGTGAATTTCATTTCATTAAGAGTAGAATGCCTATACATGAGGTTGTGACCAAAAGAATAATGATTGAGACCTTGTGCTTCTGTGGCTATTAGCAGTTAGATATATTCTTGTCGTTATTGTTCAAAACCACTCTTTAATTTTACAAGCTTTCATAAGTTTTACTGTGGATTCAGACATGGAACCAGTTATGTTTGGTTCCATGAAAGCTTATTTTATTCATAGTCCCCTGTCTTCCATATCCCTCATTATAATAAACCTACAAGGGACTCGTTGCGTTTCTGATACTTGACACATGGCTAGTCATGAATAAATCAATATTTGCTAATATCAACCCAGTCGACATCTTACATACGTGTGTGTACCAATAACAAAAAACAAGTAAGAAGATACCTTTCAGGGGGTTTTATAAGGCTCACAAGGGTAAACGTTTTTAGTATGCAGGAGACAGTTATTATCGAGAAAATGCTGAAAATTTGTCTGTTCATACATGGCTGGACTATGGTCTCTGAGTATGTAGCTAATAATCAGCAGCAAGGGTTACAAGATGATTGTGGTCCATGGGGCGATGCCTGTAAGTAACAATATTTTGCAAGACTAAAAGCATCAGATTGTTTGGCTTATGTTGAATTAGATTAAAACTAATGCTAAAAAGATTCATCGAAGATTATTTCCTTCCTAGATATATTTCTAGGTAAAGGCAACCTCCGACCCCAAGAAGCAGGAGGATACGTGATACCCTAAAATAATGGCGATGGTTAGAGTAGCTTATGGGTCTCCAAAGCCAGTCCAATTGTGCACATCTAAGTGGGAACAAATCTTTACTGCTAGAAAAAAACCCTTTTCACTTCTATGGTAAATAACCCGAAGCCTTTGCTTACATTTCCCTAAAGAACCTCAAGCTGAAGGCTCTAATGTACAGGGCAGATCAGTAAAGAAATAGAAGAACCGTGAAGTTGGTATCGCCCGCAGCAAACTTGTTTCCCATTCTTCGTGTGTTTCTACTGCACTATACTGTGAATAAAAAAGTGGTAACAAAAATGAAAGGTGCAAGTGTGCAACATGTACGAATTGTCGGGCAATTTAACGCAAAATAGTAACAATTAACACCTAAGAGCACCTTTTCTCGTGTTAAATATGTTAAGCCTGCCTACTTCTTTGGTTGGTCTTCACTCTCCAGAAATCTGAGTAACTTTAAAGGCAGTGACCTAAAGTCCAGCTTAACAACTGTTGAGATAAGCAATCAGGTTTCTCGATTTTATGAAAAACTACTTTCCCAGCCAAAAATCCTAAATCTGACTGATTATTTCAGCATTCGATAGGGTGACCATTAAATTCACTCTAACACAGTATTTAAGGTGAAGCTCCATTACTTACATGAGTGACTCTATAGCCCACCTTAACAACTACTGTAGTGACCAGTTAGAGTTCAGTATTTCATGAAGAAACTATCTTTCCAGTAAAAATACGAAAATCTAATTGATCATTTCAGATGCTGCTAGAGTGGCTTTTGAAGTCACTTTATCCACCCATTCACTTTAGTTCCACTGGCACTTCTCATATTTGTTATGATTCTTCTTTACTTAAGCTGGTCAAACGGTTTGCATATGTGACCTTCATTTTGTTTAGTTGCCTTTATCTCTCTCCTTGATTTTGTGTAATGACTAGTCTTAGTCATTCTGCTGGTTTGTTCCTTTTGAGGAGTTAGCTCTTAGTTTTGACTGCACACTATATATGGATTATTTAACTGAATCTTGTTAGTTTTCCTTCTTATTGATATGGTGTTTTTCCCACGGAAGCAACAAAGTTGGTGTTAATTGTTATTTTTATCATATTCTGCTTCAGTAATTATCATATTATTATTATTATTATTAATATTATTATTATTATCATTATCATTATTTGTCCCTTGGGTTCCTAGCGCAACATAACGCTTCAGTAGCACGTGACCATTTCACTCTCTTCTCTGCAGTCTCCTTAACCTCTCTGCACGACTGCTCAGAAGGTATCATTTCTTCCTCATACGATCTTCTCCATATCAACCTATGCTCGGATGCCCAACTCGTCGTTTATCACGCGGGTTCCACTCGAGAGTCTGGCCTGAACTGACATCACGCGTGATGTCCCAAAATGGTCTTCTCAGTATATACCAAATCCATCACCACTTTCTTCTGCATACTTGCTCGGCAGTGGGTTGTAGGTTGGTTCGTTGACAGCCACAGTGAGTTCCTGGTTGCTGATTCTTATCATTCTGGCCATCCATCTGATCTGTGTTCAGTATCGAGTGAGTGTAGGTGGCACCTGTTGATGATGTATATCTGCAGTTTGTTGGAAATGCTTTTCGTAACGCGCAGAGTCTCTCAATCATCACACAGAAGCACTGAATTATGTGACTGACGTTAGTGTTGAAACTCGAGATGTTGTTCAGGCTTTGTGCTGAGTGGAGTAGATCCCCATACTGATTTCAGATTGATGAAGAAAGGCCTATCTTGCTGTCTTTCCGATCGTGGTTTTGACATCCTCACCTGTGCCGTCGTTGCCTGTAATTGAAACGATGCTGCCTAGGTAGGTGGATAGGTGAAAGAGACAACTTCCTTTCAATTTCTCCCGTTCATGGTGATTGATGCTTGTTGTTGTGATTTTTGTTGGTTGGGCGTCTTCATCACCTCTGTCTTCTTCACGTTCACCTGAAGGAAGTCATGTCTTCCTTCGCTGCCTCACCTCTTCTGCCAGCTTGTTAGTTTTTGAGATCTGTAGATCTTCGAGTTTGTGCGACAAGCCATAAAATGTAAATCATCGTTGGCGAAATCCAAATCTCCTAGGGTCCTTTCATCGGTCAAACGGTGTATGCCCATCTTCTCGCTCCTCACTGTTTGCTGCATGATCCAGTCCACCACAATCAGGAAGATCATCAGTGATAGTAGGCGGTGAGCTTGTCTTACACCTTTCTGTCTTCACTTCAAAGGCATCACTGAGCTTCCCATTGTGAATCACTTGGTATGTAGCATCCTCATATTGAATATAAATGTTGAATGAGCGTGATGAAGGTTAGTGGCACTAAGAGCGTAGTATTGAAGCAGCTGCTTGCCAATTACTTCTCGGTCGACACTACTGAAGGCTTTTTCAAAGTGGATGAATTTGGGGTGGAGGGCTGACTGCCATTCTACGCTTTCTTCTATGATGATGTGCTTCAATAATAAACCTCATTAATTTTTTTGCTGGTCTCTTAGGTTTTCGTGAGTCCTTTGACCACGGGTTAAGCAGTTATCGTTTTCAAAGTAACAGTAATATATACGGGAACATAGATGAATGACAAAGTTCACCATCTAAACAACCAATACAGGGAAATAAGTAAGACTTTGAAATCGATCAGTGAACACAAAGCAAAGTATGACGTGATAGTAGTACAGGAATGTGATTACAGCTCAAGGTGGTAAGAATTCTAATGGTAGGGGGAGAACAACAAAGATAGTGTATGAGTTAATGGTAGACGAATAGAAAAGAATATACTGACAAACATGATAAAAATATAATAGGTTAAGGTAAATCCAAAAAATAATTGATGGGAATATGAATGTTTCAGAATAATATGTGAGACAATAAGATGAAGGGATAAGATAATAAATCAAGCTGTAGGGAAAGAACAACTCAAAAAGGCAACGAAAGGTGAGCCACAAACTCTTTCTGTACACATAAGTCTGGTTTCAATCGACGGAATGCTGTTGCTTCTGCATAACGTAGCAATCTACTATTTCTTTGTCTATTGATTGCCTTAAACGCTATATCTGAGTCAACGGTATGACTTATATCAAGTATGTGCTTGCCAATGGCGCTCTTTAGTAGTCTTCCACCTCTCAATGACAGACTTTTCAGTACATGTTTAGAGATTCGTTTAATAAGGATCCTCTCCGTTCTTCTAACATACATGCTGTTGCAAGTACAAGTGAATAAATAAATACAATTAGAGGTAACATGAGTAGGTCTCATATCTAAATTAGTTTCTCTGATCATGTTTTTCGTGTCGTAGACAACTTTTTATTTCACAAATCAAAATGATTGTTATTCAGAAATATATTTAAATAGAATAAATGTGAGAATGATTATTAGGGAAAAAGTTTATCCAACTTATCTGACTGAACGAGAGACTCTGAAGACGTGAGTGTTAACCAGCAAAAAGGGAGCGCAAAATGTTGTCGAAGCCTACTCGAATCCATACTCATTAACAGACAACATAAAACACCTTAGTCATCCGGAGGCAAGTTAGAAGTTTATTTCATTAATATTTAGTTAATTTAATTTAGTATATTTATTTTGTTCTTAATTACATTTTGGTGCCAGGAAGGTGGACTACATTCTCTTTATGTCCAGTTAATATTGAATTTTGCGGAAAGCCACTTCCATGTTAACCTGAATGTTCACCATATCTATTTAACACAAGATGATGCCATCAAATGCTGTTTTATTATCGGTGCTTAAAATGAACTAGGTGAAAACGAACCAATCAAGTAAGAATGATATATGATTGGCTAAAACGTTTCTTCCATCAACATAACAAATAATAAAAGTACTAGTTTCAAAAGTGTCATCATTATGCACAGAAATTATGTCAGAAAATAGAACTACAAGTGAATCGTCTTCATTTTCAACACTACCACACATTATGCATTCAATACCACATGTTAGTTTAATGAGAAAGGGTAAAAAGTGTTGGGTCAAGCAATCAAATGATACAAAGTGTGAAAATAGTGATGATGATGATAATGTTGATGATGAAGTAGGTGAAGAAGAAGGAGAACATACTACTGACATCATACTGACATTCGTATTAGCTGTTGATCCTCAAATATTACTCAACAAAGAGCCTGTTGTTGTTACTCGACCTAAATCTTTCAACTCAAGGTCATCCAGCTCATCTCAAGGACATAATAACTTTATGTATTTTCACATAGAATATTCAATACTCAATAGTGATGATTATCTATTTTCTACTGATGTTGTTATTTTCACCAAATCTATTGCTAAAATATATCCAACTAACTGTTCATCAAAATTAACATCTCCATGCGAATTTAATGATACTTTATGGATTGTTTGGACTGAACAAATACCAATTATGGTTACAGATGAGACAATAATAGACTTTTGGAATTTAACACAAAATGGTGGTATACGCATTAAATGTTGGGATCAACGAGATAAATGTTCTATTCAAACAAGATTTGATAGACCAAGATCTGTTAGTGTCAAAAATACTAATATGAATCAAATGAGAGAAAATTCAATTGACAAGATGAACCTAAATGATATTCAATCTACAATAGATATTTTAAGTACCTATTGTAAAACTTCGATGAATATAAAATTGGAAAGTGAAACTATTGAACTCCTCCATCAGAAACGTGAACCGACATTACAATCTCAGAGAAAAATTCGTTTGATGAGTAAGTTAATTTATTTCTAACAATATTAAGACAGCAAAATGTTAGTAGAAACTCGCTAGTGGTTAGGCTTTATCCACTTGCATAATTTGAAATTTCTCCAATCAGCAATGGGATAATACAAGAAACAACACTCAATATTTTAAGTTTGATTGTTTCTTCTAATAAGCTTGGACTGAATTTCAATGATAAATGTTAGAAATATTTTATTTCAAATATATTATTATTTATTATATATGCGTTGGGTTTCTAGTGGAATACAGGTATTCAGTAGCACGCCACCTTTTCACTCTCTTCTCTTCAGTCTCTTCAACCACGCTACACGACTTCCCACAAGCTTTCATTTCTTCCTCACACCATCTTCTCCATTTCACCTTCAACCGCGAGTCCTAACTCGTTGCTTCCCCTTTGGATTTTACTCGAGGGCCTCACCTGGCACGTGATGTTTACGAATAGCTTTCTCAGTGTATGCTTATTCCATCTCCACTTTCTTCTTCTGCATATTTGTTGTGCGTTTACTTCTTGGTTGGTTCGTTGACAGCCACAGTGAGTTCCTGGTTGCTGATTCTTATCATTCTGGCCATCCATCTGATCTGTGTTCAGTATCGAGTGAGTGTAGGTGGCACCTGTTGATGATGTATATCTGCAGTTTGTTGGAAATGCTTTTCGTAACGCGCAGAGTCTCTCAATCATCACACAGAAGCACTGAATTATGTGACTGACGTTAGTGTTGAAACTCGAGATGTTGTTCAGGCTTTGTGCTGAGTGGAGTAGATCCCCATACTGATTTCAGATTGATGAAGAAAGGCCTATCTTGCTGTCTTTCCGATCGTGGTTTTGACATCCTCACCTGTGCCGTCGTTGCCTGTAATTGAAACGATGCTGCCTAGGTAGGTGGATAGGTGAAAGAGACAACTTCCTTTCAATTTCTCACGTTGATGGTAATTGGTGTGTGTAGTAGTTGTTGTTATTTGAATATCATCACCTCTGTTTTTTATGCGTTCACTTAAAGTCTCATAAAACCAATACAATCGCTAATGAAACTTCAAAGCACAGAGAAAATATAAAAGATAAGCTGAATTTCGCTGGATTCAGGGAGACGAAACGACACCGGTTGGTGAAAACCTTCGAGAAGCCAGTTGGGTAGATGTGTCTTCTCCCTATGAGAGCAAAAGTAAACATAGGGACATGGAATGTTCGCACGATGTTCAATAGTAGTAGTAGTAGTAGCTTTTGGAATCAGTTTTTTAATTGTCAACAGTCATTTTATACCAAAATGCCCATTCTCTTAGTTTATTGATAAGACCAAAAAACTGGACAGGTATGGGGATTATACTATCAGACCAACTGTCATCCTTTAACCAACCCATATGCACAAGAAACATGTCCACTTCTTTCTGCTGCAAGCTTTCTGAAATCTTTACTGAAAATCGACCACATTGGATGAATTATAAGCATTTTTCTTGACGTGATATTGAACTTAAAGGCAAAACTGGACTTTTCTTTATATACCTGAAGATATATGCATATGAATTGCATAAATTAGTAATGTAAATTATATGGGTCACTCAAAACAACACTTACATTGTTCTACAATTCTAAATAGTTTATAGAGTGAAGACAAAGATTAGTTTGTATAAATTTATCTTGACGAGATGTTAAACTGGCAACACTGAACAATAAAAACAAAATAAGATTTAAAAATATGAATTATGAGGGGAAAACAAAGTCTGGGAATCATAGCATATCACTGAGTTAAAATGACTTATTTGTAAATGATTTACAACTGAGTAGATTATCAGCTATTCAACTATGAATTTATATAAATTATGAACAAGATTTAATCTTATAGTATGGTAAAATATTGGGCACTGAGTAAACGGTCGACATTAGATATAGATTGTATTTGTGTAAGTTATAGGGTTTTGAAATCAAATAATTCCGTTTCACACGCAAGTCTGGTCCCTGAAGAAGCTTGGACCAAACTTTCGTGAGAAACGTTGGAATTATTTGATTTCAAACTCGTTGTAACTTACACAAATACAATCTATATCTAATATCCAACTATGGTGTTAACTGTCTTTCTGCCAGAAACACCCCAACTTAAGATTACAAAGTGTAATCATCTTCAGTCGTTGCCTAGTAACAAGAATATATGTTAGTATTCAGAAAAAAAGTGGTTAGGTTATACATTCATTCAACTGTCATGAATAAAGTTTCCAATAGCTTAAAAAATTTCAACTTTCAGGTGATTCGGTTTTATTCTTATGGAATAATTTAATCCACTTGTTTCACTGGAACACAATACAAACAAATCTATAAATATATATTTATTACTTTCATACAGGTGGAAATACACCGCTTCATACTGTAAGCAGTATAGCGAAATTAAAGTACAATGATCAAGGATTATTGAAAACTAACAGACTTCGAGAAGATCTTGTCAACTATTGGGGATCGTGTTGTTTAGTACTACAAAGTGGACATTTATTTCGAATTAATCCACCAAAATGGATTGTAGCACGTAAACCATCAACAAATTTTATCTATACATCCTCAAACGTACCTCCATTATCTTCAGTGGTTTTAAACTTAGATAACAGTTTCAAAGATATATTGGTTGGAATGCGACTAACCTCCTCACTGATGTCATCATACCAACGACGGAAGTTTAAACCGATTATATTGACAATTGACAAACTGCGTAATCTTCCTGTTATACCGTACAGAAGCTATGAAGAAATGAGGGATATCTGCGAACCAGCAAGATTGATAACCAATTTTTCAAATGTATGGAATCATCAGTCACAAGAGTATGCTCAGGATAAAGAAATATATATGAATGAAGTACAGGTAAGTTTGTCAAGCTGATGAAACCGCTATGTGTACTGAAATAATATCCAGAGATTTTTATGTCTAGGTTTAGTATCGTTTGTAAGAATAATAAGCATATGGAATTGTGCTTTCCTAAGGAGGAATTCCTAATTATTACAACTGGGGAGAACAATGAAAACATTCTTTTACAGGTCAGATTATGAATACTAACACTGCATTATATTTTTTCAGTTTGGGTAACGTTACTACTACTACCACTATTACTATTACTATTACCACTACTATTACTACTATTACTACTACTACTACTACTACTACTACTACTACTACTACTACTACTACTACTACTACTACTACTACTACTACTACTACTACTACTACTACTACTACTGCTAAAGGTCAGTGGGTGAAGTATATCTTCAAGTTGTTATTCATCATGGACCGACATCATTTGGAAGAACATCGGAAACCTGGGAGCACTGGACAGCTATTTCGTCCTAGTATGAAACTTCTAGTGCTCACTGGTGACTAGCTTCGAGAGGTGATTCCTGAAGTTCCAAAGTATAGTCATGACCGGTGAGGGAACCTGGTGGCCATGACGGCAAATACCCAACGACGACATTGGGAGATGGTCACGGTATCTCATGAACTGATAGAAGTAAGAAATATGGACCACTGGATTCTGACTCAGTGGTAACGTGCTGGACACGGAACCTGACGGTCGTGGGTTCGAGCCCTGGCGTGGTGCTGTGTACGCACTGTTGAAGGGTCCCATCCTAGAACGAAACACCTATCCGGTGTTCCAGGGTTTCCAATGTTACTCCAACCTATGTCAATCCATGATGAATGCCAACTTGAAAAATCACCAAATCTTCATAAACCACTGAATTCAAGTGGAGTTTGTCTTACCAAACTCTTATTTGATTGGTTAAACGATTGAATATATAGTCTGCACATTCAGCAAGTAGCTAATTGGTTCCTTTCAAGTTAGTGACCCTTCAGTAAGCAGTTATCTTGCCGCGTTTACCTTCGTCTTAGTCTTTTTTTCTACAAAAACAGAGGACAATTATATTTTCAAATCAGTTTAATATGGAACTATGCTCCATCACATTGGTCAAGTCCTTGGCTTAAATATAATAGTTTTTTCAAAAGAAAACAGGCCAAATCTATCGGTATCACAACTGTAAACTTGTTCCCAAAAAGGAGATTTGCTGTGTTCTCATTGGTGGAATTATTGTGGTAATCAGAACCAGTCTGATTACTATGACTGAATATATTTGGTTTTGAAGCAGCTTTCAGGGTGAATTAGTGTTAACCGGAGAACCATTGAAAATATATGATCACTGAACACCTATTTCACCTGAGTGTGAATCCTTCTTTCCAAACCCCGAATGAAACACATTTGAATGATGTAAGGATATGATGACTAAAGTTTAAAAGAAAACCTGTTTCGCAACATGTTTCGTTTCAGCGTCTTCCAGATTACCGGCTTAGTTTTGTACTGACTTAACTAATGTACCCAGCTGTTGACTGGGTTTTAATTTCACATCAACAGATGAGATTGTTCCAGTTACTTTAGAATTTTTTCTAGGATTTGTCCTTTCAACTATCATCTGCATGATGTCTTTATTATGGACGCGGTTGTGAAGTCGCAGTCAAAAGAAACGTTAGCTTAATTTCATCAAGGTCTGAATAATTTCTTGAAAACCACCAAGATAAATGATGCTTATCGTTCAGATTAAATCTGGAAAATTCATTTTTATGGGGTTATTTAACCGCTTAGCTTAAAATCACCTAACCTAAGAAAATGAAGGTTATCAAATTCGACAGACTTTTCTTTCTATTTCCGATGCTTGGATTTCGACGAACTTTTGTTTAACTCTTGAGAGACAAAAAGTGAAGCGAACAATTTAAAAAGGACAGGGGAATCTTTTTGTAAAAGTAAACATAATCTACGATATTTGTGTTGTTACTCTCATTATCCCGTCGTTGATTGGACCGAATTGACGAGTAACAAAATAAAAATTTACTCATCCCACAAGAGGTGGCTAACGTGACTTGGTAGCCTATTGGATATCTTTCTGGCGTTTGAAGCGATCGACATCGGGTTTCTAGTTTTAGTAAGAATAACATGGCTCACTGGAAGGTGAGCACGTCCGGCTGATGAGTCCTAAATAGGATGAGACGCATGTCCTAGATTTCACAGCTAGTCATTATTCATCATTAATATAATCCGCAATACTTTGCAATAAGCAGATGTCAATGTTAGGCAAACTTGAAGTTAAAAAAATATGAGATAAATAAGGATTTGGATGCTTGGAAACTTTCTTCAAAGTGATCTAAATTAGTGAGTGCCTAGAATTTTTCTTTTTGAATACCTGAATAGGAGGAATTGTCTGAAGTTCATTCACCTCCTAACCACTGAAATTACATCATTCTCTCAGGGGAATACATCATGCAGTTATGCTGTTACATTTTGTGTCTTGACTATTAACGAATAAGAAGATTTGAAGTAAAGCTTGAATCCATCATGGTTTTTAAAAAGACAGGGGATTATTGGAGCAGTTTAAAACAGTCGTTATAAAAATTTTCACCAAAGGATGGGAAATTAATTATGAACAAAAGAACCCAATCAAGAAGAAGAATTTAATTCAATATTTAACAAATTATAGTTACGATTACTTCTGATAATGATGGAATCATGAAACTTGTAACCAAAGGAAAGACTAGATTCAGTCGTCTATTCTATATAGCCATTCTAAAACAGAGAGAAAGAGATTCACAGTTTATTGATTACTTAACAGCTTGTAGAAACCCATCTCAGGTTCATCAAAGCATTTCCTTAAACACATTTAACTAATAGATAATGTTTGAAGTTAAATGACATATTTTTGTAACCTATTTTATTCTGCATAGTTGAATGCTGTATCTCATACAATGACATCACTCTCAAAGTAGGGAACATAGTATCAATGAATTTTTGACGAGTTATACTTGCAGTCAGTGTCTTCTTTGAACACATTTCAAAGAGCTTTTCTCTCACATTAGTTCTATGCAACTGCAAAATAATCTTCTCTTCTCTCTCCCTTTCAATGATCGAAACACTGTCTGTTTTAAAAAGAAATCATTAGGTATCATACAAGTAAAGGATACTGAGTCAATTATCATGGTAATATCATATATTAGTAGTATATAAAATATTTTACACAATTCATAACATTTATAAACTTAAAAAAGGAACAATAACAAGTGTTCGAAGATGCTGCCGTAAGCTCATGCCTGTTGTTTACCTCAAAAAAAACCTACAACTAAATTACCTGCTTATCAGCGCTTGCTAATAATACGTATCTGAAACTTAAAAGCAACTCATAACTGTTCATAGATCTCAACTCATGTCATGAAGAACTGCACTTAGAAACGTTACCACTAAGCTATTACAGATACCACTCAGCTCATATAGAAATGGATCACGTCAATTAACCTGCAACTAACTAGTCCTGCTTGTTGACCGAATTGTATCAGTCATTTTATCAAATTGTTATCAAGTTAAAAGACTTAGCATCGCAATTCACCTTGATTGGTACTAGTCGATTAGAGACAAGAAACAAGAAGCTGTCGATGTCATGATAAATATTTAACATCAACAGAGAAGAAATAAACAAATGTTGGAGGATGATAACACAAGCTCACTTTCAGTATATCAAGGATTATTCTCAACTGTTTACAACCTAAACATTATCAAAATTTAAACATCACAAGAAGTGAACATACTTTCAACTAGTTGACAAGATCAACCGGCAACATAGATGGTAAAAATGACTAAGCCACAGGGAGCCATGAAGAACATGAGAAGAAGATTGACTATTTATAGGGTTATTACGTGAATATTCTTCAAGGAGAAGGCTAAAGGGTAGATGGAAAGCAAACACTTACCATAGACTGCACAACTTCAAAATGTTTTGTAGTTACAGGAGATAATAGAGTAAAGTGAGTAGAGTTCATATAAAATATTTAAGTTTGGAAGAGAGCAAAATGTATATGATAGGGTGGGTGACTTAACGACAGTCTGTGCGTATTTTACTGTGGGCGACTTACAATGGGAGAGCGAAGTTAACAACTGTATTTTTTTGAGGAAAATTTTGTAAAGTATATCTAGAACTTGTCACATTTGAAGTCCTTCCGCTTGAATTTAAATTCCATATTCCCAAAAAAATTGTCAACAAAATTGACACTGCAACCCAATTTAAAAGTTTATATCATTAGATTAAATGATCGAAGATAAAATCCGTTAAAATCGGGATTTTCTGATATTGGTAATCAGTACACTGTATCACCGAATTCACGGTCACCAGTTTTGTCTCAATATCACCAAGCAGTATTAAGAAATTTAATAAATGATGAAACCTTTGCTTTCCTTTGACCAGACAAAGGTTCTGGTGCAGTAATAATGCGCAAAGCTAACTATGTATACGAAATCACACCAATTCTAAGTGACTCATCAACATTTCAAACTAATAATTCTAAATTAGACTGCGTAAGACTGAAAGGATGGAGAGGAGGAATATGAAGAAAGTCAGGATAACGGTTGGAAAACGGATTATTCGACGACAACATCTAGAAGGAACCGTGACTTAAAGGGTCTAGATAGCTCTGTTTATATAGCTTGTCAAGAAGCGCAAACCATATGTTCCTGCGGGACCAATACTGTCTATGGTTAATTCTTTAGCATTCATTGACGAGGTATATCTGTATTCTTGATGACACCTACACTCTGTCGGAGATTCAGATTCACTCTTAAGCATTGAAACTATATGACGAAATCCAGTTCACGAAAGACCCTGAAGAAGACTTAGGTCCCAAAAGCTTTCTAGCGGTTGATTCTCGGTGTCTAACACAATAGTATATCCACTCAATTTCAAAATGCTAAAAATTCCCATTACAAAAATCATAACAAGACATGTAAGCGAACAATATTGTTTTCAATTAGATCTCATCAGGCTTCACTCTAATATATACAA